TCATAATATTCAAAACTCCAGACAAGAAACAATCAGGGACAGCTAATCACATCTCAACAAAGGATTCCCTCAGGCAGTAAGAAGCCACACCTTGAAAACTGCTAGGCCATTAAATGCAAATCAAGGTGGTCAATTGAAACATTCACACCTACCTCTAACAGACAAGAGTTCTTTCTCCCACCCTGGATATTCCACAGATATATAAACCCCAATTGCCTAGTTTCCAACAGACCTCTCAACCTCTGAGGATGCCTGCCATAGATGTAAGGGAAAAGTCAGGAGAAAATGCTTCTGGAACATGACCATACAGCCCGAAAAAGTTACAGCAACCCGGTGATTCCGGCCATGAAAGCCTTCAACAATACATATATGGCAATTATTCTTGTTTTTAAAAAACCCAACCATCCTATTATGTTAACCAAATAAAAATCAATTCCAAATAGGGCAGGGCTTCTTAAACTATTTCCACTCATGATCCCTTTCTGCCCAAGACATTTTTAAGTGGCCCAGATATATTATAAAATAGAAATAAAAACCAAACATTTCCTGATCAAAAATCAGGATTTGCAATATTTGCTAAGCAAGCTGATTTTCCTTTATATGAAGACCAGCTGATGTGTTTTTGGCTGTGTCCACTGTAAATGTTGTTGCTAACAGATTTGTGTAAATGTCTAGGTGGCCACCAGAAAACATTTACTGTCACCAATTTTTGTGACCCCAACATTGTGCTAAGGGGACCTCATTTGGGGTTAGGATCCACAGTTCAACAAGCAGTGAAATGAAATTTGGACAGAATTGGTAAGCAATTCATATGCTAGTGCTTTTTCTGAACAGTAGGTAAATGATAAGCAACAGCTATACATAGGTATTTACTGCTTTCCAGTTTACAAGTTTCCATGGTAAAGGGTCTAAGGCAGGAATGGGGTATACACAACCCTCTCAGTGTTGGTAGAATACAACCCCTACAAACCTTACCTTTGGCTATACTTATTGAGACCTGGAGCTGAATAAACTCTAGAGAGTCATACAGTTCTCATCCCTATTCCGTGGGGACTGTGGAATTACATGCATTGAGTCTCACCTGCAGCCTACCTCAATATTCACTCCATCTCAGGCCCCTTCTACACTGCCATATAAAATCCAATTATCTGCTTTAAACTGGATTATATGGCAGTGTAGACTCATATAATCCAGTTCAAAGTAGATAATGTGGAATATCTGCTTTGAGAATCTGGATTATATGGCAGTGTAGAAAGGGGTCTCAGTGAAACTATGGTTGGCCCTTTTATATACAGTACTACCCACAAATTGAAAGCAACTTAGGGTTTTTAGGAAAAGGGGACACTCTGAGAGCCCTACCCTATATCCCAGTATCTGATCTCCAGTGTAATGCTTTAAACTGGATTAGATGAGTCTGCACTGCCAGATAATCTGGGATAAACAGAAAACCTGTGATCAGATCCTGGAATATAGGGGCCTATCTAAAAGGGCATTGAGCCCTCTTCTACACTGCCCTGTAGCCCAGGATCTGTGCTTTGAACTGGATTATATGAGTCTCCACAGCCATATAATCTGGGATAAGAAGGTAATCTGGGATCAGATCCTGGGATATAGGACCAGTGTGGAAGGGACCTGAAACAGCCTAACTGCCCTAAAGGCACCAGAACCCACTGACTCTGGAAGCTAAGCAAAGTCAGCCCTTGTTAATACTTGAATGAGAGACCCCCAATGAAGGCCAAGTACTGTAGGTTGTATTTCAAATGAAGGAATTGGTAAAACCATCTTTGAGTATTTCTCACTTTAAAAAATCCTGGGAAGTTCATGGGATTGCTGCAAATCGACAGGTGATTTGAAGGTGTGCAACACGCACTCAAAGAGTTTCACTGGCACCTGTGCTTCTTGTCTGAGTCACTGCGAACTCAACTTGGAGCTGGTGTTTTGTAACAGGCTCTGAACAAGTGAGGAGCATCGTGGGATTGGTGGAGCATGCACTCTTAGGTCATTCTTTCCTACAAGGTCTAAATACCCTGCCATTTTTCCTGTCTCAAAACCGATCTTCAAATTACATCTTAGGTCTATTAAGGAGATAATGACCTGGTCGATGAAGCTTATTGTGTGGACAATAAAGTACAGTACTTCCTTCTCTCTCTCTCTTCCATAACAGCATTGTGCATGGAAAAATACCATTCAACTCAACTCACGATGTGCAATTTTCCCCATTATTAGAGCCCTGGGCAAGAAAAGCAGCCACTGCTGAAATTTTGCTTATCTTTTAAAGAAAAAATAATAATGATTGCTCTAAACAAATGTTGCAGAAGTCTTGGGATCAGGGAGCAAAGTGTCTCTATTCCTGAGGGGAAATATAGCACTATGCCTAAAAATACTCTGTGCTTCTACATTAGTGCAGCTAACACACTCCAGGGTTCAAGTCTGCCCACAATCTTGAGCAAATCACAATCCAGGTTGTTAACTTACTTAAGCGTATACAATGGGAGGAGGGATACATAAACCCCAAACTACTCAAAATGGTTGTTCCTTTTTTTTCTTGACTGTGAATATAGATTTTTTTTTCCATTTCAGGAGCGACTTGAGAAACTGCAAGTTGCTTCTGGTGTGAGATAATTGGCTGTCTGCAAGGACGTTGCCCAGGAGACACCTGGATGTTTTACCATCCTGTAGGAGGCTTCTCTCATGTCCCTGCATGGAAAGCTGGAGCTGACAGATGGGAGCTCACCCCACTCCCTGGATTTGAACTGCAGACCTTTTGGTCAGTAGTTCAGCTGGCACAAGGGTTTGGCCCATTGCACCACCAAGGGGGAGGGGTGTCTGAATAAAGATGGGGAGTGACCATACATCAGGATTACTATCTGAGCAGAGGAGCAGATTAGGCAGTACTTTGTTATCCACTGGGATTTGGTTCCAGAACATCCCTGTGGATCCCAAAATTCATGTGTGCTCAAGTCCCATTATATACACTGACATAGTAAAATGGTGCCTGTTATATAAAATGTTTTTTTGGATTTTAAAAATATTTTCAAGCAGCTGATGATTGAATCCATGGATGCAGGGTCTGTGGGTATGGAGAACTGGTTATAAATCTGGTGACTTAGACTTGCCTTTTATCATTGATTTCTTTAAAAATATGAATTTGTGGGTGCTTAATCTTGTGGATACAGAGGCAGGCTGGCTGTGCAAATCGGGGCCCTAGCTTTCCAAAAGTCTCAGGGCCCTTCCACATAGCCATATAACCCAGAATATCAAGGCAGAAAATCCCATAAGATCTGCTTTGAACTGGGACCCCTTCCACACAGCTGAATAAAATCCCACATTATCTGCTTTGAACTGGAATATATGAAAGTGTGGACTTAGATTTTATCCCATGCCCTCTGTCCATTGCTGCAGCAGGCACCTACTTTATTCCAATGTTTACAGCCTGGCCATGGTGCCAGTTATTTACCGCCATGGTTAGCGGATCGCAGCTTGATGGAGTCTGAATTGATGTTTCAATATGTGCATGTGTTTTATTTTATAAAATGTGTTTTATTTTATTGTATCTTATATTGTGCTCACTTTTATGTTTGTTTTTAGGCACTTTGTGCTGTCTGTAAGTTGCACCGAGTCCCTTCGGGGAGATGGTGGTGGGATAAAAGAATAAAATTAGTATATTATTAATCTTATTATTCTGCCTTGATATTCTGGGTTATAGGGACGTGTGGAATAACCCTGAGTCCACACTGCCATATATTCCAGTTCAAAGCAGATACTGTGGGATTATATTCAGCTGTACAAGTATGGAGATTCGATCTGAACATTAGGAAGAACTTCCTGAATGTGAGAGCTGTTCAGCAGTGGAACTCTCTGCCCTGGAGTGTAGTGGAGGCTCCTTCTTTGGAGGCTTTTAAACAGGGACTGGATGGCCATTTGTCAGGAGTGCTTTGAATGCAATTTTCCTGCTTCTTGGCAGGGGGTTGGAATGTATGGCCCATGAGATCTCTTCCAACTCTATGATTCTATGTGTATATTATTCAGAGAAGTGTCTCACCAACAGGACTGACATCCAAATCTATGTCAGGAACCCCCAGGGGTGCAATGGGTTAAACCCTTGTGCTAGCAGGACTGAAGAAGGTTCAAATCCGGGGAGAGCGCAGATGAGCTCTTTCTGTCAGCTCCAGCTCCCCATGCGGGGACATGAGAGACGGTTCCCACAAGGATGATAAAACATCAAACATCCGGGTGTCCCCTGGGTAACATCCTTGCAGACAGCTAATTCTCTCACACCAGAAGTTACTTGCAGTTTCTCATGTTGCTCCTGACACAGAAAATTATTATTATTATTATTATTATTCTGCCTTGATATTCTGGGTTATTTAGCTGTGTCAAAGGGCTCTGAGTCCACACTGCCATACATTCCAGTTTGTTGTTGTTGTTGTTATTCTGTCTTGATATTCTGGGTTATTTGGCTGTGTGGAAGAGCCCTGGGTCCACACTGCCATATATTCCAGTTCAAAACAGATAATGTGGAATTTTATTCAGCTGTGTCATTATTCAGAGAAGTGCCTCATAAGCTGCACTAACATCCAAATCGATTTTTTAAAAAAAATGGGTTGCATAAATGATTTCCTGATACTCTCTGTGCGGCAGAAGTTACAAAAGAGGCGAACTTTTGCAAGCTCATACTTTTGTTCGGTCGGGGGCTGGCGGGTGGGGAAAATATCCAGCCTCTACAAAGTGGGGAGGGATGCGAGAAGGTGTGGGAGGAAGAAGAGGAAGAGGAGGAAGAAGAGGAAGAGGAGGAGGAGGAGGAGGAGGAGGAAGCCGGGCTGTCCCTCGCCGCTTATACAATGCAGCCGGCGCGATGGGGACAAGTTGCATAACCGGCCCGGGTTGGGTGCGCTCTCCTCTCTTTCGCTCTCTCTCTCTCTCTCGCTGCCTGCCCGCCTGCCTCCAAAGCAAGGTTCCCCACGGAAGAGCCCCCCCCCCCGTTCCTCTGCCCGCCTTACCCCTGGCGATGCCTTTTTGGAGGCAGGTGAGGGCGGCGCGGTAGTCGCGGCTCCGGAGCAGCTGCCCGGCCTCGGCTCGGAGGCGCTCCGCCTTGGCGCCCGGCTGGCAGCACTTCTCCAGCAAGTGGCCCAGGAGGACGGCGGGGGCCAGGGAGCGGGCGGAAAGCCTCTCCCCGCACAGAGGGCACTTGCCCGGCAGCCCCAGCAGGCAGCGCCGGCAGAAGGAGTGCCCGCACGGCGCCGTCGAGGGTTCCCACAGCAGCAGGCGGCACGACGGGCAGCGGAAGAGCTCCATGGCGGGCGGGCGGGCGGGCGGGCGGGAGGAGGGTGCCGTCCTCAGGCGGCGGGGAGAGCGGAGCGGCCCCGAGGAGGCATGGGCACGGGTGGAGGTGGGTCCCAGGAGACGCTCTCCCGGACGCGCGCGAGACGCTCGCAGGCGTCCCTTTTGCGTCTCAAAGGCAGGCAGGCAGGCAGGCTGGCTGGCTGGCTGGCAGGCAAGCGCGCGCACGCAGGCACGCGCCCCAGAAGTTTGGGCGCCACGCCCCCCTCCGCCGTGCGCGCGCGCCTGCCTGCCTGCCTATCCCTATGGTGGAGGCTGCAGCAGGAGTCAGGCAGGCGGCTTGCTTCCCTCGCTGACTGCTGCAGCCAGAAGGCGAAGCGGTCCTTCTTCCTTTTCCCTCGGGCCTCCTCCCTCCCTCCCCGCGGAAACTGGATTTAACAGGTGTCCCAGACTCTGGTCTTCCAAAAGTTTTGGATGCCAGCCCCCCAGAATCTTGAGGTGCTTTGAATGTGAAAGCACAAAGATTTTGGTCAAGGACTCTCCAAAGAGAGGGAAAAAAGGGGAGGCTTTGGGCTACTCAAGAGAAGCGTACTCAAGTGTAGACACAGCCTTTCTCGAGCCCAGCAGTCGCACTGGTCCCGATTCCTTCCTTTCTTCCACGTGGAAACTGGAGTCAACAGGTGCCCCAAACTCCGGTCTTCCAAGAGTTTTGAATGCCAGCCCCCAGAACCTTGATCAGGGAGCTGAAGCCCAAAACACTTGGGAGGAGCACAATGTGGAGATCGCTGAAACAGGTGACTTGAAAACAGGCCTGGGCCAACTTGGGTCCCCCAGGTGTTTGGACTTCAACTCCCAGAAATCCTAACAGCTTCAGGCCCCTTCCTTTTCCCCCTCTGGGAGTTGAAGGGCCCAAGTTGGCCTACAAGCCTCCCTGAGGCCCTCTCTCTTTCGGGCGTTTCCTTTGCAGACACCCATAAACGCAGATAAGCCCTTAACAGCATATAGAATCATAGAGTTGGAAGAGACCTCCTGGGCCATCCAGTCCAACCCCCTGCCAAGAGCAGGAAAATTCCATTCAAAGCATCCCCAACAGATGGCCATCCGGCCTCTGTTTAAAAGCCTCCGAAAAAGGAGCCGCCACCACCACTAGATTCCCTGGATCTAGACACTAGATACCACACTCCAGGGCAGAGAGTTCCACAGCTGAATAGCTCTCACAGTCAGGAAGTTCTTCCTCGTGTTCAGATGGAATCTCCTTTTTTGTAGTTTTAAGCCATTGTTCCGTGTCCTAGTCTCCAGGGAAGCAGAAAACAAGCTTGCTCCCTCCTCCCTGTGACTTCCTCTCACATATTTATATGTGCCTATCATGTCTCCTCTCAGCCTTCTCTTTTTCAGGCTAAACATGCTAAAGCTCTTTAAGTCGCTCTTCATAGGGCTTATACCCCGCCCCCCCCCTTCCCAAAGGGGGGCTCAGGGCTAGCATCATAAAAACAACCACTATACAATAAAAATATTAAAAATTAAAACAACAATTAAAACAATTAATTAAGACACATCCATTAAAATCAAAATCCAAAAACCAGTCCGGGTCAATTCATTGCCATAAGTTGTGTGATCTTCTTCCACTCGCTGCTCACTGATCAAACGCTTGGTCCCATAACCAGGTCCTGATTTTCCTTCTAAAAGACAAGAGGGGGGTGGCTAATCTGATCTCTCTAGGGAGGGCGTTCCATAGGAAGGGCCACTGCCGAGAAGGCCCTGTCTCTCATCCCCATTATTTGCGATAGTGGTGGGATCGAGAGCAGGGCCTCTCCCAAAGATCTTAAACTTCGTGATGATTTCTGGCAGGAGATACATTGAGACAGGCATCCTAGCCTCCAGGGCAGCAGAAAACAAGCTTGCTCCCTCCTCCCTATGACTTTCCCTCACATATTTCTACATGGCCATCATCATGCTTCCTCTCAGCCTTCTCTTCTTCAGGCTAAACATGCTCAGCTCTTTAAGCCACTCCTCATAGGGCTTCTTCTCCAGACCCTTGATCGTTTTAGTTGCCACATTCCAGCTTGTCAACATCTCCCTTCAAATGTGGTGCCCAGAAGTGGACACAGTCTTCCAGGTGTGGCCTCACCACGGCAGGATAGGAGGCTAGCATGACTTCCCTGGATCTGGACACTAGACTCCTATTGATGCAGGCCAAAATCCCATTGGCTTTTTTTTTGCTGCCACATGGCATTGTTGGCGCATGTTTATATATAATCCAGAAATACTTTTTTGCAGTTCTTTTCAAAACATTGCACCCTTCACAGACTGAGTGATTCCACTCCTAGAGAAGTCTCACTTGGAGAGAAACTTGGGAGCGAGAAACTTGCTCCCCTCCGTGTTTTCCCCCCACCGAGCCTTACATAAAAGTCTCGTTGGAGACGGAAGGCGCAGCTCTGCCGATTGGAAGCGTTACTGCCAACCGTTTTCCGACAAGCCTCCTAATAATCATGGCTGTAGGCAGGGGGTGTGCTACAGACACACCTTTGGGAAGAAGGGACCCTTGTGCGGGCACCCACTGGAGACATAGACACACAAACAAAGCCAACCCCCTTCCGCGGGTTACATAAAGCTCGGGAGCCGCCCCGCGGGAGGGAGTCGGAGAGCGCGGAGATTGGCTGCCGCCTCAAGCCCCGCCCCTGTTGCGAAACCGACGCTGCGGAGCGCCGCGTTTCGTAACTCCAGGAAGACCCGATACAAGAGAGAGAGAGAGAGAGAGGCGCGCGCCGGACGGAAAGGGAGGCCGCTTCCCAGGCGAGGAAGGCAAAGGGCGAGTGGCCTGGTTGGGAGCTCTCTGAGCCGGCCTTCCTCGCCTCTCCCCCAGACAGCCCTGGCGCCCACTCCTGAGGCCCCTTCTACACTGCCATCTCACTGCATTGAACTGGATTATGTGGCAGTGTAGACTCATATAATCCGGTTCAAAGCAGATCATCAGGATTATCAGGCAAGCCCCCTCTTTAGCAGACTTCAAGAAAAATCTGAAAACCTGGCTCTTCCGATATGCCTTTGGAGAGTGACCATTTCTGTTATCCCATTTACATCCCATCTTTAGTGTCGCCTCTATGAGACACCTTCCTAAACTGAAAGCCTTGTCCCACTGTTTTTTATCATTCCTGGGCTCCCCTCACTGACATATTTTTATTCCTACCTCCCAGGGTTTTATTATTTTGATATTTCATCTGGTTCATTTGGCCTGCCCATCCTGTTCAATTTCATTTTGTGTGAATTTGCTTTATTATTTTACTTTGCCATTGCAATTATCTTCTGATGTAATTTTGTTTCTGTATTCTGTATTTTATTGTGTTGTATTGTATATTTGGGCTTGGCCTCATGTTAGCCATCCCAAGTCCCCATTGGGAAGATAGTAAGAGTTAGTCCCCTGACATTAAGTCCAGTCATGTCTGACTCTGGGGTGTGGTGCTCATCTCCATTTCTAAGCCGAAGAGCCAGCGTTGTCCATAGACACCTCCAAGGTCATGTGGCTGGCATGACTGCATGGAGCGCCATTACCTTCCCGCCGGAGCGGTACCTATTGATCTACTCACATTTGCATGTTTTCGAACTGCTAGGTTGGCAGAAGCTAGGGCTGACAGCAGAAGCTCACACCGCTCCCCGGAATCGAACCTGCGACCTTTCGATCAACAAGCTCAGCAGCTCAGTGCTTTAACCCACTGCGCCACTGGGGGCCCTTCATAAAATAACATTTATTATTATTATTATTATTATTATTATTATTATTATTATATCAGACCTCACTATCTCTGAGGACGCTTGCCATAGTTGCAGGCAAAACATCAGGAGAGAATGCCTCTAGAACAGTGGTTCTCAACCTGGGGTCCCCAGATGTTTTTGACCTACAACTCCAAGAAATCCCAGCCAGTATACCAGCTGTTAGGATTTCTGGGAGTTGAAGGCCAAAAACTTCTGGGGACCCCAGGTTGAGAACCACTGCTCTAGAACATGGCCACATAGCCCCCAAAAACCTACAACAACCCATTATTATTATTATCTGCCTTGGCATCCTGGAGTGTAGAAGGGCCCTTTTCCACTTGTCAAGTTTGCCCTTGACATTAAGTCTAGTCCTGCCGGGCTCTGGGCGGTGATGCTCATCTCCATTTCTAAGCAGAAGAGCCGGCGTTGTCCGTAGAAGCCTCCAAGGTCATGTGGCCGGCATGACTGCATGAATCTCTGTTACTTTTCCACCAGATCTACTCACATTTGTGTGAGTTTTGAACTGCTAGGTTGGCAGAAGCTGGGGCTAACAATAGTTCACCCCTCTCCCTGGATTCAAACTGCTGACCTTTCAGTCAACAGGTTCAGCAGCTCAGCGGTTTAACCCACTGCGCCACTGAGGGCTCCACATGTTATGCTCTAGTTTCCACAAAAGTGGAGCATAAAAGCCCTGCCTCCTTAATAGGGGTGCATCTATATTGCAAAATTAGTGCAGGGTTGTCAAAGGCTTTCATGGCTGGAATCACTGGGTTGTTATAGGTTTTTTGGGCTTTATGGTCATGTTTAAGAGGCATTCTCTCCTGACGTTTCACCTGCATCTATGGCAAGCATCCTCAGAGGTTGTGAGGCCTGTTGGAACTAGGAAAAGGGACTTATATATCTTTGGAATGACCAGGGTGGGACAAAGGACTCTTGTCTGTTGGAGGTAGATGTGAATGTTTCAACTGACCACCTTGATTAGCATTTGATGGCCTGGCAATTTTTTGGTGTGGCTTGTTAGTGCCTGGGAGAATCTTTTGTTGAGAGGTGATTAGCTGTCCCTGATTGTTTCCTCTCTGGAGTTTCCCTGTGTTTGGATGTTGTTTTGCTGTTATAATTTTAGGGGTTTTTTAAATACTGGTAGCCAGATTTTGTTCATTTTCATGGTTTCTTCCTTCCTGTTGAAATTGTCTACATGCTTGTGGATTTCAGTGGCTTCTCTGTGTAGTCTGACATGGTGGTTGTTGGTGTGGTCCAGCATTTCTGTGTTCTCAAATAATATGCT